TAATGGATAAGGTGGTGGAACATATTGTCTACTTGTTATGTGAATGAAATTTTAATATATGGTAGATGTGTATTGAACTAATGTGTTACGGAAATAATGGAAGATGTGTTGGCATTGTGTCACGCCCGAAGACTTGATAATAATATGGAAAAGTAAAGAAATAGTTTGAACCTAAGAGCTTTGAACCCCTTTAAAGATCAATCTTTATGCCTCTATGGATGTGTTGTTATATTTTTGTAACAAAAACCATGAATGAATTGATGGATAATGGATAAGGTGGTGGAACATATTGTGTACTTGTTATGTGAATGAAATTTTAATATATGGTAGATGTGTATTGAACTAATGTGTTACGAAAATAATGGAAGATGTGTTGGCATTGCCCACTAATTATAATGATGGATTGTGATATTACCTTGGGGTTCATTTCCTGCCGTATTTTGAGCCGGCAAAGCGTGGTGCTTGAAATACCGGAGTAGCCCCCAGTAAAGCGTATGGTATGTTGAGGTTTTGCATTCTTCCGACTTGTGACTGGTAAAGAGTGAGGTTCCGCATTCCTTCTAGCTTGTGACCGGTAAAGCATGAGGTTTCATATTCCTTCCGATTTGTGACCGGTAAAGCGTGTGACTCATGGAGATGAGTTGTTAATGGATCCGGTATTTGATATGAAATTAATTGAAAGAATGGAAAATGAAATGGTAATTGGATTAAGGGTTGGTGATGATGAACTCAGTGAATTGCTTGTGACTATAAGGGAAGATTATGAGTTTTGTTTTGTAAATAATTGAGAAATCGAATTAAAAAGGGTTTGTTATTCTTGTGTTATGTTTGAACTCCAATCCTTTGGATTTTGATGTTATGGAGTATGGTAATTGGAAGTAGTATAAGGGAAAAATGGAAATGAAATGAGGAATAATTTGGAACCGGGTTAATAAATTTAAGATGATGTCCTTTCTAAGTGTACTTGTTTTCAAAGAGAATTTATGGCTTCCTAATTATGAGAGATAACATTTATGATAGGGAGTTTTCTTAAAGATTCAAGTGAAATTTTAAGAAAATGATACTCTTCGTATAATATTTTGAACTTACAAAATGTCACCTTACTATATGGTATCACTCTGCATGCATGATCATTTCTATCTATGTGTTAGCTATTGTTGTAGAACTATGAGATTCCTATTGGGCATTAATGCTCACCCCTCGTTGTTTTATTATTTTTTAGGAAGAGAAATTCGGATTGATTAGTCGAAGAGTTACGGAGTCCATGCATCTTTTATGTATAATTTCATTGTAGATGTGAAAGAAATGAATATTTGATATTTGTAATTATTGATTTGTAGCTCCGCAGTGGAAGCTTGACATTTATTATTGTTATTGTTGTATTCATTGAGAGAGAGAGAGAGAACATGTATTATTATGTTTCTATTACTCAAGGGTAATAGATATTTGAAAAAAAAAATTGAACCTAATTTCCAGGCTTTTGGTAATGTTTTCGAGTAATTAAAATTTGGGGGCGTGACAGGAATTGTCCTATCTGTTGTAAAATTCAAGAAAAACAATGTATCTCATGCACACATTTTAGTCAAATTACAAGGAAAAATTCAAATAATGCCAAATATTATCACAGCAACTTAATGATACAGAAAGTAAGTACATCAAATAAAAAGTTTTAATCAATTTTGTCATATGCTGATGACTTACAGATGACATAATAAATTATGTAACTTGACAGTTTCACGAAAGTGACCCTACAAACACTTATAAGCATAGATCTATAGACATTGTGAAAACAATTATGAAATTCCTATATGGATCGAAATATTAAATTACAATATCATTTCATTTTCTTTAAAAAAAAAAACTGTAACGCCCTCAAAATAATGACATTAAACCCACCAATATAAACATACATTGATACATAAAAGGTTCACATTCATCTATTCATCAAAGTATTTCATTACAACAGTATTGCATGTTTACAACACAAAAGCAAATGCCCTACGGGCTTACAGCTTTCCAAGTTAACACTTGGTTACGAAGAGAGTGCTAACTCAATTACACCTTAAGCCCTTGGCTTGAAACTATATGTAATACAATCAAGGAAAATAAGACAGCCAAAGTATGTCCGCCTCTAGCCTCCCAAGCTATGTCCTTAGAGGTGCATGCTACCTGTACCTGAAAATGATGTTCCCATATAGGGTGAGCCACAGCCCAGCAGAAATATACTAAACCAACTATGAACAATGCCTAAACGATTAGCAAACCATAGGTGGTCAATACTTACACTTCCATTTTCATCTTATTACAATTCCATGACAACCAAGTCTATGTTACAATTCACTTTCCATTTCTTATTCAACTTTGAGTTTGAAAACAAGGCTCAGTACTCTGGCCAAAACTTTTGATGAGATTATAGTTCATCACTAGATCACTTTTGAAATCCAAGGTGGATACACATTTTGGTGTTGTATCAATAACACATACACTACTCGCATACTTCGCAAATGATGATGATATACATTTTAGTGCTATATCAAATCGAACAACCTTTTCAATAAATAAGCATATGAGCTATATCACTACCACCACAGATAAGCTTATGAGCTATATCAATACTTCAACAAATAAGCATATGAGCTGTATTCAATACTACACAGATAAGCATATGAGCTGTATCAACATTCCAATAGATAAGCATATGAGCTGTATCAACACTTCAATAGATAAGCATATGAGCTGTATCCAATACTACAATGGGTGAGCATATGAGCTGCATCCCTGGGTCCATCCCCCATCTTCCCTTAACCATTAACCATTAACCGGTTTAGAGGTACATCCCCCATCTTCCCTTAAACCGTGGAGTACATCCCTCATCTCCTCCCATACACAAGTAAGGCATATAAACACAGAATCACATACGCACTCAATCAATACATAGAGTTAATGTATTCTATCAACTGTCTACACATAATGCATATAAACACATTGATCATATGCCCAACCAACCAATACATGAAGTTAATGTATTCTATTAACCGTCATACTCTATGACACATTCCATTGATTAGTTTTCGTTTGCCTAATCATCATGCATTGTCTACAACAATCTCGACTATCCTCCACCGATAGCCCAAAGCAGTTATTTCTAAACAGAAAATAAATGCACAAATGGATATTCAATCAACATTTCAACAATCTCATTTCATTTTCTCATTTCTTACAATTAATTATTCCAATTAATCAAACAATGTAATTAGGTCATTTTCCATAATTAACATTTCAGCCCTTAGGTTCCATTTTCATCAATGATTCAGCATTTATTCTCTTTCTCTATGCCAAACATGCATCTAGGTTTATTATGAACAAAACCCCAACTTTTGTAAAATAACACAAAAGCTCCAAACTTTCACCAAATTACCAAACCAACCCCAACATCTCAAAATACTAAAATTTAAAGACAAAACCCATAGAGAGGAGTAGGATATCCCTACCTCGAAGTTTGAGCCCAAAAGGAGATGAAGACTCGAAGATCAACGTGCTCCAAATCCAAACTTTTTCAGATTAAGAAGAAGCTCTCAACGCCCTCTATCTTTTTAACAAAGGCCCTAGGCTAGATTCACACTCTAGGGAGATCAAATCTTAGAGAGAGTGTAGGTTTAGAGAGAGAGAGTCTCGGATCTAGGGTTTGAAAGAAAAAGAAAGTGAAAAACTGATGTTCAAAAACGCTACTGTCCGCTGATATAAAACACGCTCGCTCGAGCGACAAGACACAGAAAACTCTCGCTCGAGCTAAGAAGTTCTCGCTCGAGCCGAAAACTCAGAAGTGCGCTCGAGCGAAAGAATGCTCGCTCGAGCTAACAACTCAAACCCTCAGGTCTGCAACCAGAAGCACGCTCGAGCGACAGACTTCTCGCTCGAGCGAAGAACAAACCAGACCGCTCGAGCGAAGAAAGCTCGCTCGAGCCAAGAAATGCAGTTCTCAGGTCCATAACCAGATGCAATCGCTCGCTCGAGCGAAGCCACTCTGGCTCGATCCACCAGACACGAACTCAACTCTCGCTCGAGCGACCAACTCCTCGCTCGAGCGAAGGTCCAAAAATCTGGGCAGCAGCACTAGGCTCTCAAACACAATCAACCTATAACAAACCTGCCCAACACATCCTATAACTCAATATACAAAGTAAAAAGGATGCAAACAAGATAATAAACAACTACCAACATCCACGGACACATGTCCGGATCACTGTACAACAAGGGTAAACCCGGGATCGCTATAAAAACTATCCTACATTTTCTACATAAATGACAATATACTAATAACTATATTATATTTTTCATTATGCAAAATATTTGTGACATAGGAAATGAGATATATCGATCGCAATATTAAGTTACAATATCATTCCATTTTCTTAAAAAAACTATTCTACATTTTCTACATAAATGATAATATACTAATAATTATATTATATTTTTCATTATGCAAAATATTCGTGACATAGAAAATAAGACTCAATAACTTTTGATGTACAAAAATATATTGTATATTGATATTAATACATTTTTACACCAATAATATACAAATAATATGTAATAGTGGGTTTAATGAATTTGTATTATGAGATAAATTATTAAACAAAATTGTATAATTATACAATTAATTTCATACATTCAATTATATTATAGAGACGTGATATGAAAAATTGAAGTGAAATGTTGATAAAAAAAATTATTTAAAATTTTATTTTAAAAATAAAATAAATTTTCATTTAATCTAGCAAAAAAAAAAATTAAAATATTAAAAACAGAATTAAAATTTATATTACTTAATAAATAATTAAAAAACAATAAAATAATTTATTGAGCATTTATTATTATCCATGATATTTCAATCAAACTTTCCCAACATCTAATTCCATAAAATAAAAAAATAAAAATAAAAAATAAAATAAAAAATACAATCCTGTCCAATAGTTCAGAAATATATATCCAAACAAGCAGAAGGCCTCGGATACATGCCAACAAAACTACACCTCTTTTTCCTTGTGTTCCTTGCCCAATTTTATTTTCGTTAAACCCATGACCTAGATCCTCTTTCACTCTGGACATTGCTCTCTCTGTCGCTTTCTCCCTCGCCATGATCGTCTGAAGAACTCCAGCGGTTTGAATCTCTCTCTCTCCCTCTCTCTCTCTCTCTCTCTCTCTCAGGTTGCTTATTGCGATTTTATCGACTGAGAGGGAAAAGAGGATAATTGAATCTCAGGAGATCGCCGACTCTCATCTATGGTTTTTTCTGTCGATTTCACTAATCTTCAATAATTTTCTGCGAAATGCAGGTCCCATCGATTCCAGTCTTTTAGGGTTTTGGTTGGAGTTCTTTGCAAATCGCTCGGTTGAAGATTGTACGGGTTTTCTGCAACTTGTGCTGTTTATTTTTGTTGCTCGATTTGGTTTCACATTTCTTTCCATACGAACTTCGAGGAGTATTTTCGGCTCGCAAACAAATCAGGTAATACTTCTGTTCTTTACTGAAAGCTCTCTGCTACTTTTTTTTTCTTTTCTTCTTCTTCTTCTGGTTTTGTTTCTTTTGTTGATGTTCACACCGTTTCTACATTCGTTTACTACTGATGGATAATATTCGTTTACCCCTAAACTATCGCCTAATATTTTGTAATACAAAAGTTACGGGATCCTAAATTATTCTCATATTCCAACACTCCCCCTCAAGCTAAAAAAAAAAACAACGCCCAATTAGTATAAATTAATGTGTGTTTGGGAGGAAAAAGATTGGGAACATACCAAACCTTTGGCATAGTGTACAAAATGGTTGTCCGTGAACTCATAACCTCAAGATTATTAAGCTAAGGTTTTACCATTGAACCGATCACCCCTCAAGCTGATTCAAAGATATTCGCTAAACCCATATGGATGTCTGCAACAAGGTTGGACCAATGGATTTGGTGAACATATTAGCTAACTGCTCAGATGAATAGACTTAGATGTTGAATATAAGATGTATGTAATTAGACAACCTCATGTATTGAATGGCATTGACACATATATACACATACATACATATATATATAAGAGGCCTTTTGATTGTATTTAAATATTGTCTTTTCTTTATCATTTATGATCATTTCTCGTGGGTCGAATTCTGTAAATTCGAAGTGTGACAACATTTGTGGTGTTGATTAACCCTAAGGGATTGGCCTGGTGGCTATGAAGCATGGACACGCCAGATTTCATGCCGTGGCAGTGTTTGATACGGGGACACGCCGGGGACACGTACGGGACACGCCGGATGGCGTGTCCCTTTAATTTAATTATTTTTTTTTGCAGGGACACGGCGGAGACATGGCGGGGACACGCGTGTCCACCAAATCTGGACACGCGTGTCCAAATCTGGACATAAAGAGCAAAAGAGAAGGGTAGAAGAAGAGTAAAGGTCAAGATACAAACCTGGTCTTCGATCTAGTCGAGTCGCCTGTCAACCTCCATTCAGTCGACCATCGTAAGTCACTCTCTCTCTCTCTCTCGCCTGTCGACCTCCACCCATGACCTTGACCTCGACCTCGACTCCGACCTCGACTCGACTCGCCTCGCCTGTCGACCTCCATCCGTAAGTCTCTCTCTCTCGTCCCTGTCTCTCGCTCTCTCTCTCTCTCGTTCTCGCATCGATCGCGATCGCATCTCTTGCTCTCTCTGCTCGATCTGATCTGATTCATATATACTATATATATATATATATAATATATTTATTAGGTTTAATTCATATATAATATACATATATATATTTATTAGGTTTAATATTAATGTATTTATTTGGTATAATATATATATATATATGTGTATTTATTTAATATTATTAAAAATATATATTAGGTATAATATATATAATATATATATTTATTTAATGTTAATAAAAAAGCATATCTTATATCTTATATAATATGTATATATATAAGATATAATATATACTTATACATATCAATCACAAAAAAATAGTAGAAAAAAAAAATAAATAAATTAATAGAATCATATTTATTTAAAAATATAATAATTAAATAAAATGGATACACACATATATACACATACACACACACACACATATATATATATATATATATATAAGAGGCCTTTTGATTGTATTTAATATTGTCTTTTCTTTATCATTTATGATCATTTCTCGTGGGTCGAATTCTGTAAATTCGGAGTGTGACAACATTTGTGGTGTTGATTAACCCTAAGGGATTGGCCTGGTGGCAAGGTCTGGGTCTTGGGGGTGTGCTCCCTCCAAAGTTCAGGGATTAAAACCTCTTATGTGCTAAAAATTCTTTGGGGCTATCGGATTGGGGAAAACACTTGAATTAACCATGGTGCTTGCAGACAAGGCTTGTGCATTGTGGGGATTAGTCAAGTTTTGATCCGAACACCCCAATGCCAATAAATAAATATATATATATATATATATCATAATTAACATTACAATGAGTCATAACTTACACCACAATAAGTCGTAATCAAATACCAAAAAATTCATAATTGGGGCATATGGGGGTTGTATATCATAGAATTTCCCATATTGGTTTTTTGATCGGCAAAGTAAAAATTTCATTAAAATATGAAATTAAAGGTACAAGAAAAAAAGATGTATTGAGAGAGATTCAAGAAGTGCAAACTCTCCTCCTACTGCAACTCACATCATTCTTACAGCCAATCCCTCAAACTCACTTTTTTTATTTATTTATTTTTAAATAAGAGGGGGAAGGGGAGGGGGAGGGAGAAGATCTAAACTACAAGCCAAACACTTGAACCCCACACCTGACAACATCCATGCCGCACTAAAACATTTCCCAAGCTTGCATACATCTCTAACAACTCTGCACGCCTGTCTCCCACGCTTGTTCATTCCCAATCAAAGCACTAATCCATGACACCAAACCGTGCCACACGCGTACACTGCAAGAGAAGACCACGCGCCTCTCATTTTCCAACTGCTGAAGCTCCATCTTCGCCCCTCGTATCACTTCTAGCGCTACACAACCACCATCTGCAGTCCACTTACACGCTCCAACCAACTCCCAAAACAACACCTAATCATCCCAAAACAACTTCATTCACCCCAAACAACTCCATTCAATCCGGCCACTGTGCACCATTCACCCACCCAATCCAACTAACACCTACAGGGAACTCGAACCAACACCCAACCTGAGACCACCTCTGCAACAACCAACACCTAAGAGAGCACCCAAACAACACCCACCTGCCGAACACCCACCGCGAGCACCCAACACCGAACACCCTACTACTTAATTGCCGAACAAGCCGTCACCAAACACCCTGCTCCATCGTGAATCAATCCTGCTTCTCCTATAGCACCCAAACACTAGCAAAACTAGTGTCCCACACTGATTTGAAACCGCCTTTGAAGACGATGTCTCCCTTTCCTTCATTACCGCTTCTATATCGACCATCCATCGAACCCCCATAGCTAAAGAAAATGCCCATACTCGAGCACCAGACACCACCAAATGGAGACCCAACATGCTTTGAGACCATCGGAAATGATAGATCTGATACCACCCAAGTAACACCCAACCGAAAACCCCGAAGAACACCCATAAACGAGCATCAACCACTAAAATTAAAAAACTAAAACAACAACCTAAGCAAACTAGAGATTAGATCTAAAAAGGAGAGGGTGGAAAACTGTGGGGGGGTTCAAGTTTATTAAGAGGAAAAGCACTCACAGGCAAAAGAGGTAGCTAGGCCAACCGACCGCCATGGCCATTGGCGGCGACCGGCTGGCCAGTGGTGAGACCCGGGGTGGACGTTTTTTAGAGAGAGGATGAAAAGTGAAATCCCATATTAGTTTTGGTTATGAATTTTTGTATTATTTGATTATAAAAGAAAGTAACTTTAATTAAAAGATTTGGTGATATTTTCTTGTGAATCAAAGTAATTTTGGTTATAACATTTTTGTGATGCTTTACTTTCTTTTCTTTATTCATGTGTATTTATCGATTTTTTGATTAACTCACATGAGTTAATTGAAATATAAGCATATACCCTTAGATCTCCCTTCATCGCCTTAATTGAAATATAAGACGATGATTCTTGAATTGTTCAATTTCGGACAATTTGGGAATGCATAATCTATATCGTTGTTAGTGGCTCACCGCTTTTTATTGTTCTCTCCGAAGAAGATTTTGTGTAGCAGATCCTCTTGTTCTCCAGGTGCATACATGATGTGGTGTATTGCTAGCGATACACCATATTTATGTCGTGTACTTGGAGAACTATGTGGATATGTTGTCAGAATTTCCTTAGGGTTGAAGTTGGACCAACGGATTTCGTGAACATATTAGCTAACTGCTCAGATGAATGAATTTCGATGTTGAATATAAGATGTATGTAATTAGAGAACCTCATGTATTGAATGACATTGACATATATATATATATATACATACATATATATATATATATAAGAGGCCTTTTGATTGTATTTAATATTGTCTTTTCTTTATCATTTATTATTATTTCTTGTGGGTCGGATTTTGTAAATTCGGAGTGTGACAACATTTGTGGTGTTAACTCTAAGGGGTTGACCTGGTGACAAGGTCTTGGGTCTTCGGGGTGTGCTCCCTCCAAAGTTTAGGATTGAAACCTTTTAGGTGCTAAAAATTCCTTGGGGTCATTGGATTGGAGAAAATTCTTGAATTAACCATGGTGCACTTGTAGGCAAGGCTTGTGTACCGTGGGGATTAGTTGGGTTTTGATCCGGACACCGCAGTGCCAATCAAAAAAAAAATATTTGTGGTGTGGATTACCATAAATGTCATAATTAGATCCTTTTCAGTTGTAACTTGAGAAAAAAAGAAGTCATAACTAAACATCACATAAGGTACAATCAAAGACGTTTTGAATCATAACCAAAATAATATCACAAAGCCTAAGGGGTTGGCCTGGTGGCACGACCTTAGGTCAGGGGGTGTGCTCCCTCCAAGGTTTAGGGATCAAAACCTTTAGGTGCTAATAATTTCTTGGAGTCATCGGATTGGGGGAAAACCTTTGAATTAATTGTGGTGCACTTGCAAAAAGCTCTTTGCCAAGGGCTTGTGCACGCTTGGGGATTAGTCGGGTTTTGATTCGAACACCCTAGTGCCAATAAAAAAAATGTCATAATTAACATTACAATGAGTCATAACTTACACCACAATAAGTCGTAATCAAATACCAAAAAATTCATAATTGGGGCATATGGGGGTTGTATATCATAGAATTTCCCATATTAGTTTTTTGATCGGCAAAGTAAAAATTTCATTAAAATATGAAATTAAAGGTACAAGAAAAAAAGATGTATTGAGAGAGATTCAAGAAGTGCAAACTCTCCTCCTACTGCAACTCACATCATTCTTACAGCCAATCCCTCAAACTCACTTTTTTTATTTATTTATTTTTAAATAAGAGGGGGAAGGGGAGGGGGAGGGAGAAGATCTAA